CACTTGTCTTTAAACTCCTAAGACCCAAACACTTGCATATGGGGATGTCAGGTTGTCCATATATGTGGATGTCATGTTGTCCACATACGTGGTTGTCAGGTTGTCCATACGTGGATGCCAGGTTGTCCACATACGTGGATGCCAGGTTGCCCACATACGTGGATGCCAGGTTGCCCACTTACGTGGATGCCAGGTTGTCCATATATGTGGATGCCAGGTTGCCCACATACGTGGATGTCTGGTTGTCCACATATGTGGATGCCAGGTTGCCCACATATGTGGATGCCAGGTTGCCCACATATGTGGATGCCAGGTTGTTCACATATGTGGATGCCAGGTTGCCCACATACGTGGATGCCAGGTCCTAGGAGGTTAAACAAGAAAGCCATAATGTTCCCAAACAGGAGAACACAACGAGATGGCTTGTTCGTTGCCTGCTAGGCTGCTAGTGCTATGCGTGCTGCAAGATAATAGTTCCATGCTGAAACATGCTTAGGAAATTTAGTTCTGCTGCACATAATCTCTCATTAATAAAATTTAATGAGTGAAAAAATAACCAAAACAGAATGCACGTGGGCCGAACCATACATGCTGTACCGAAACGGTTCAATACACCCACGTGTACCGTTACACCACTAATGGCTACGTATTTTGCTTTGAAGGTACCGTATTTTCCGGTGTATAAGTTGCCATTTTTTTGCATAGATTTGTCAGTCCTGCAATTTATCCGCCAAAGCAACTTATATGCTGTTTTTTTCCATATTCATAACATAATTGTTGACTGACGCTTTAAATTTCGAAGAACTGCGAGTTCTCCCATGTGTGCTCGCTTCACTCAGCTGGTGCAGGCGGAGGAACGCTGGAGAGCTAATGGCTCCAGCTGTGATAAATGGATAGATGATAGATGGATAGATAAATAGATGGATGGATGTTGCCCCCGCCCCCCCAGGTGAAATGAAGCTGTTTTGACTATTAAATAAATGCATAATAAATTCGACTTATGTGCTGAAGCGACTTATTTTAGTTTTTATCCTCTTCATGAAGCTTTTTTGACTGGTGCGCCTTATACTCAGAAAGTATACCGTATTCACCTCACCACATCATTCTTCAATCTGACTCTTAGAAGCATCTGTTCATCAATGGCTCCAGGCTCAGTTCTATTTCTAAAATTTCCAGCATTCCAAGAAGAAAACTTTTTGAGGGCCTAATTATTTCCAGCTTTTTGCTATTCTTTATGTCATATGGTTCCCTTTACAGTCTTTTTCATGTGGTCAAATAACATCACATCCTATTTCTATAGTGAATAAGTGCCTCTTGTTTAAATAGACCCTTGAACAGCACCTTGGGATTTGTGCTTTTGCCACAACAGAGGTGAAACCAAACGTTTAGTTTTGTCACACTTTGCGCCTCAATTGTAAAAATGGCTGAGGGATCAATATGTGCACTGACTGGCGAAGGCAAAAAGCAGGTCATGTTAATGAGCTGGGTGTGGGGCTTCTATATGAGCATTTGTGTCTCAGGGGGTTTCCAAAGGCTGCACTTGCAGCTGGGCTCGGTGCTCGCAGCACGTCTGTTTATGCACCGTGCAGATTTATGACGAGCTGCAGACGCCAGGGATTAAAAACAATGCCAAACTGAGGTCTGCATGTCTAAACCAGACTCCCAACCTCTTATTCCTTTCCTTAGTCGTGCACTTCTGCTTATCCGTATTTCATCTGCAACTCACCATTCCTCATCACTGTCAACGTCATTTATTACTTAAACTGAGAATAAAAATGTCACTTTCCTAATTAGCTTTTTTGTAGATTCCTCTGCACAAGAGTGTCCTGTGATAATCACACTAATGTGGAGCAATCCAAGAGGTTGATGAGTCACCCGAAAACTGCTCACATTCATGCCTGGTTTTCTTCAGCCTTCCTGTTCCACCCAATGACAACAGATCTGCGTGCACAGTTTTATCAAGCGTGCTGCAACTTGTGGCACCAGTGCTGGTGGATTATTATGCACTGTCTGACAAAAAAAAGCTGTGCCTTTACTTTATAAATGTCAATGTTTTGCAGTTTCCTTCCAGATGTGCTCATTTGTAAGAAAAGTTTGAATTAGAGGCTCAGACAGTCATGCAGCTCGGGGCCCCATGCAGGCCTGAGCACAGACCCCAGGTACTCAAGCTGATCGTCTTCTTCTTTTGTGCACATTGCAAACATTCCAGACAGACTGAGGGAGGATCATCTCCATGGACACACACGCATGCATACACACACTACCCTAGGCCAGGAAAAAGAGTCCCAGCTGTGTACATAAATGGATTTAAACGCTGGCTGGGGTAATTTGTTCACTATTTCTGAGAAGTTTGTAGGTTGTATTAAAGAATGATACTTAGGCTAATGGAACATTTTATTGGTAGGAGGGAAAGCTTTTAAAAAACACGTCAGTGACGGATGAGGGGTGCTCTTAGTTAAAATAATCATCCCATCTAGAGAAGTAGACGAGAAAATTAGCTTATCTTAAATTGTGGAGAAAGACCTGCATTCCAACACACTAAGTAACACATCTCCCAATAAATTTATTTTTAAGCCGTACAAAAAGTGAAGGGCCAAAATTGCATTATTACGGCTTATGTATCTTTTTCCATCAAAAAAGTGTGTATATATGGTAATGAGTTTATTTCAGATACTCCTGTCTTCAGGGGTCACCACAGCGAGCAAACTCACAAGATTTGACAGTTGTTTTATGCCGGATGCCCTTCCTGACACAACCTGGGCTTGAACATGCAACTTCAAGATTACAAGACGGCAACACTGACCACCAAGCTACAGCTAACCCTTCCACTTGTCCTGTGGCCACACGCCAGCTGACGTGCGCACATCTCTGCTACACCACAGAAGTGGCCGCTACCATTGACACTGAACAGAAGATACAGCGACCCTTTGCCACGCAACGAACGGTAGGTCGCATCAAGCCTTTAGTTGCCATGTTTCATGCTGCACCAAATGTTGTGCTGGATAGACCAATGGATGTCATCCTCGGAGTAACTCTTGATGATAAACACCCTGCCCTGCTTAAGGTTCCAGTCAAAAATCCTTGGGGTTGTAATTGATAAACATGCGTAACTTCTCTAGAACAGGATGAGGCTCAGAGGGTACCCCACCACTCCTACAACTGAAGAAGTGGGAGGCGACTGGCCTGGACCATTCCCACTGGCATCTCCAAATCCATCGGCCCGGTTTCGCGGAGGTACCCAGCGAGTAAGTTGAGACAGATTTTGCTGTTGGCTTTGTAATGGAGGGG